TCTCCCATTACTTTTCTTAATGATTTGTAAGAGCTCTATATAATGTAATGGGTATAATGTAGTCAGTATAAATGTGCTCAGCCACATTTTGGTACAAGACATATCATCTTACTTTATTATTTCTAAATAAAATTAAATCTGGCTCTGAGCCATCACTCTTTCAGATAGATGAGAAGTCCACTATTAGACACTAAAAAGGCTTCCTTCCACTTCTTTTATTTTTAATTTTTATTTTATTTCAGAGAGGAAGGGAGGAGAAAGAGATAGAAACATCAATGATGAAAGAGAATCATTTACCAGCCACCTCCTGCATACCCCACACTGGGGATTGAGCCCACAACCTGGGCATGTGCCCTGACCAGGAATCAACCATGCCCTCCTGGTTCACAGATTGACCACTGAGCTACACTGGCCAGGCATCCACTTCATCATGATACCACCTAAGAATACCAAGCTCATGGAAAATCAGAAAGTCCAGAAAAGGCTTAACATTAAGCCAATGGTGATTACCACTGTTGCTCCTTCAGTCGTATGTCACTGTTGCAACTGAAGATGTGGCAATTAAAGATGTCCTACTAAGAGTCCCTTTTTCACTGACTCCAAAGATGCTTGCAGTTTCTCAAAACTATAATTCTACGTCTAGCCCCCATGTGTGACATAGCTTCCTCACACTGAGGGCATTGCATACAAGGGAAGCATGGGTTTCAGACACTTTTAGAAACTCCTAAACTACTTAACTCTCTTCTATACCTGTGGTTACACGTTATCATTCTTATTACACTATTAATGTTGTAATTTTTTTGCATTTTTCTTTTTATATATATATATATTTTATTGATTTTTTACAGAGATGAAGGGAGAGGATAGTTAGAAACATCGATGAGAGAGAAACATCGATCAGCTGCCTCCTGCAAACTCCCCACTGGGGATGTGCCCGCAACCAAGGTACATGCCCTTGACCAGAATGGAACCTGGGACCCTTCAGTCCACAGGCTGACGCTCTATCCACTGAGCCAAACTGGTTAGGGCAATTTTTTGCATTTTTCTCTTTTTTCCCCCCATTAATTAGGATAGCCATAGGTGGTTAATGATGATGATGACTACGTTTTTTAAAAAAACAAAACAAACAATTCAGTTTTATTTTTCTTTTATAGTGCTACTAGTAGCCCGGTGCACAAAATTTGTGCACATTAAAAGGAAATTAACTGCCACCAGTTTGGCTCAGTGGATAGAGCATTGACCTGCGGACTCAAGGGTCCCAGGTTCCATTCTGGTCAAGGGCATGTACCTTGGTTGCAGGCACCTCCCCAGTGGGGAGTGTGCAGGAGGCAGCTGATCGATGTTTCTCTTGCATCGATGATTCTAACTCTCTATCCCTCTCCGCTCCTCT